AATGTTCACCCATCTGCCCTCTTGCCAACATAGAGCCTCGCTGAGGGTGATCAGTTCAGCCTTTTGTGTAGAGGTGTGCTGAGGCAAGCCCTGGGCCCAGATGACATTCTCCCATTAGGTGGTCAAGGCAGCTCTGGCATTCCAGCTCCCTCCCCTCTGTCACAAAACTGCTTTCATCCATAAACAAGTTGGCAGCTACCTCAGGTAAGGGGGTGTCTTGCAGGTCTGGGTGACTGGCATGGGAGATGTCCAGCAGATCCTTACAGTCATGGAGGGGCACCTCCAGGTTACTGTCAGGCATCAGGATTGGGGCTCTGAATGGTTAAGGTGAGACAGGGCTGAATAAGAAGCAGACTCTAGTACTGAGTGATGCAGGCATTTGACATCTATAGGCTCTATTTGCTCCCTAGAGGAGGGTCTCCAGTACATGGGGTGGGGGCAGGGGATTAGTGTTAAGTCTTGGTCCAAGGTGAGCATGTCAGCCTCCTTGACCAGCAGGACAATATCTGCTATGGTGCGTAGACAGGAGGGCCATCCTGAAGCTACTGGTTCTACGAGCTTGGAGTATGTTATAGGCCTTTGCCAGGATCCCAAAGTCTGAGTAAGCATGACTTTTACAATCCCCTGCGCTGTGCTACATGAACAAAAAGGTGAACATCAGGCAAGAACAGAGCTGGGGCTTGGGCCAAGCCCACTGGAAAGCCCATTCCTTTATCTCTCCATTTTAAGAGCTGGTCCCCCAAATAAGAGGCTGAAGCTTGCATTAGCGGTAAACCAGTTCTCGCAGGAGCTTGGGGAAGGAAGTGACTCGGATGGGCTCTGAGGGGAAAGTTCGCGCCAGGTGGACACAGCGCTGTCTGCATGGGCAAAGAAGACCCCAACAAGCCGCGGGGCAAGATGTCCTCCTACGCCTTCTTCGTGCAGACCTGCCCCGAGGAGCACCGACTCCTCGGTCAACTCCGCGAGTTCTCCAAGAAGTGCTGGGAGAGATGGAAAGCCATGTCCGCCAAAGAGAAGTCAAAGTTTGAAGACATGGCCAAAAGTGACAAAGCTCATTATGACAGGGAGATGAATTACATTCTGCCCAAAGGGGAAAAGAAAGGGAAGAAGACAGACCCCAATGCACCCAAAAGAGCACTGTCTGCCTTCCTGTTTTCTTTGAGCATCACCCAAAGATCAAAAGTGAGCACCCCGTCCTGTCTATCGGAGACACTGCCAAAAAGCTGGGTGAGATGTGGTCTGAACAGTCACAAACAGCCCTATGAGCAGAAAGCCAACAAGCTGAAGTACGAGAGGATATTGCTGCCTACGTACCAAGGGCAAGGTGAAGCAGGAAAGAAGGGCCCTGGTAGGCCAACAGGCTCAAAGAAGAATGAACCAGAGAATGAGGAAGAGGAGGAGGAAGATGAAGATGAGGAAGAAGAGGAGGATGAAGAATAAACAGCTGTCCTGTAATATGTGTGGGTTGTGTGCGCTCAGGCAATTGTTTTAAGAATGTGAAATTCAAGTGCAGCTCAACATTAGCATCAGTATAAAAAATGTACAGATTTTTGTATAGCTGATGAGATTCTTTGTAGAGAAAATACTTTTTTTTTTTTCGGTCTTTTTGAGACAGGGTCTCCCTGTAGCCCCAGCTGTCCTGAAACTCACTATGTAGACCAGGCTGGCCTGGAACTCACAGAGCTCCTCCTGCCTCTGCCTCCCGAGTGCTGGGATTAAAGGCGTGCACCACCACTCCTGGATTGAGAAAATATTTTAAAAATACAGGTTGTAGCTTTTTGAGGGGTTACTACATACAGTTAGATTTTAAAGGTTTTGATGTTGAATATTCCTAAATATTTAATGGTTTCTTTAATTTCTTTAGGTAGAACAGCAAACCTCATAGGAATTTGTATTACGAGTAAATTTTGGGATTTTTTTAGGATGTTGCATTTTTTGTTTTTTTGTTTTTAAAGTTGTAATGAAATTATGTATATTAAAAAAACTTGTCTCCAACCATGGCTGAGTAGTGAGGCCTTCCTATTTCAGTGAAGCCCAGGATCCAAAGTTAGCAATATCCCACTGTACCCAAGAATTCGTGTACCTGCTTTTTGATCTGGGGCATGGGGATCTGAAGGATAGCTTCCTTCTGGGCCTCAGTAAGGGGGTCCTCTAACCTCAAGAGAGTTTGTACCCCAAATAGAAGACTTCTGTCTGGCAGAATTGAGCTTTCTTTACAGTCAGGGTACCTCAGGGCCTGGAAAAACTGGAGCAGGTCTGGAGTGTGTCTCACAGGGAAGTAGGCTGGGTCAGCAGCAGTTAGCAGGAAGTCATCCATATATTGGAGCAGTGTCTAGTCAGGGTGAGAGGCTCTGAAGCTTGTCAAGTCCTTTTGAAGGACTTCCCCAACAGTGTGGGAGAATTTTAAACAAAGGCTAATTTTAGAGCTCAGGTGTTCTCTGGGGTCAGAGGATCAAAAGTATTCCTTAGCTCCCTGAAGAACCTCAGTGGTTTTGTATAGAATTGTGGGCTTTGGGCTGCCCCCTGATTCCCACTAGAATAGTCCAATGAAAAGTGCCCAATGCTCAGGAGCAATCGGGACCTGAGGCTTTTCAGAAAATAGGGGAGTGATCAGATTCAGGGCCTTCATGGCCCTGCACCAATCCTGATGTCCAAACCAGGAGCCTGAATCCCAGATCTTGGATCCCCTGGTCACTGAATGCAGCCAGGAGCAGTAGGGGCAGGAAGGGAAGAGGAGAGAAACCCAGTGCAGCATACAGGGGGGTTGGAGACAGTCAGTGGAGCCCTCATTTCAAAGAAAAGTATGTGGTGGGCATCTTGTCAAGGTACATAGAGGTAGCAACAGAGCAGTTCCTGTGACCTTTCCAGTCACAGGTCCTGCATGTCCTACCTTGGGGGCTTTGACAGGACTGGGGCTCAGGGAAGAAGGCAGATGGAGCGGAGAGCTGTAGTTTGGCAGGCACTTGTACAAATTTAAAGCATCTTGGGTAAGTAACTGGCACTGAGGAGACACTCCTGGACCCTCTTTGACAGTACAGCTGGGGGTGATTGGGGGTACTGGTCTGCCTGCTACAGATATGGTGGCAGAAGCCTGGTCACATGGAGGAAGGTTATGGGCATCTGTCTTGGAGTTCAGGGCACTCCCAGTACATACTGGAGCCCATAGAACAGTCATAGCTTCACAGCGACCTTAAGTCAGGATGTGATAAGGCACCTTTGTGAACATAGCTATGCCATGTTGAAGTCTAGCCTGAATCTAGCCTCTGAAACTAAAAGGCAGTTGACCCAGGGTGTGGGAACAGGTCAGCATGTCCCTACTTGCTCCTGCTAACTACAGATTTATGACTTCTGTGTTTTTTCACTTGGCTTGCTCTTGCAGAATACTAATTGTTGTCTTACAGAATAGAACTTGTTAGAGGGGCTTTCCACCCCTAAGCTTGGGAACTTGAGCTTTTCACCCTTGGATGTAGTTTTACTGTATAAAAGCTTACCTTAAAGACAGCTCAGGACTGCACTTGGGAACTGAATGCCCAGTGCAGTCACTGGCTGGCTAAAAATATATATAAAGACATTATTTTGGCATATTTTTCTGTGTCTAAGTGGTCTTTTCTGATGAAAGAACATCATAACAAGGACCCGGGCCAAGACCTAAGGGACATGTGCCCCCCAGGAGACAGAAATGCAATAGCAACAGCTTTTGAACAACCATAGAATAAAGGATAAAGGAGGAAGGGCCCTGAAGATCACTGTATCTCACCAACATTAGTAATTACTCAGGGTTTGTTTTTCCTTTTCATTTTAATAGTTGCCAGATCCATTTATGAGAAGTGTGAGAAGGACTGGGAAAACTACGAGGAGGGAAGGGACATGAAGCAGGGGTGCTCTGAGGTCTGCCATGTTATCCCATTTCATGGGTTTTCATTTGTCTACCCAGTCAGTCCTGATCAGGCCAGCAGGACCATGAGGTGAGTCTATGGCAAAAAAAAAAAAAGAAGCATCCAGTTCCAAGAGCAGAAGATGGGAGAGGTGTACAGGAAGGCAGGAACAGCATTGACTCATTCCTCACCTTCTAGTAAGGAGATTTATTCACAATCTTTCTAAATTTTCATTTTCATTGTCAGATATTTCATAAAATGAACCTGCAGGCTGGCCTGGAACTCACTACGTAGACCAGGATGCCCTTGATTTCATAGAGCTCTTGTCTGCCTCTGCCTCCTGAGTGCTGGTATTAAAGGCGTGCACCACCACACTGGGCAACTGAAACATTTTATAGTAAAGAATCGTTACCCTTTCTCTTATGAAGAAAGTCAACCAAAACTAAAGCAAATAAAGTATACATTTTCTCCAGCCTTTTACAATTTACTACATATATATCCTTGAGTTATACATCGCCTGTTTTCTTTTATATTCTACTACAATCAGGCATTTTAAATTCGACAACATTAAAACTTTAAAGTTTTAGGCTTTTTCCATATCATATTCTATCCCTCTATAAGCAGGTCCCAAATACACCAATCTCCAATGGTGCACCAGTTTACCAGATGACCTTCTCAGCCAACATCTTGACTATAGAGAAGGATCCAGCCAGGTATGGTGGTACATGTCTTTAATCCTAGCACTTGGGAGGCAGAGGCAGGCAGATCTCTGTGAGTTCAAGGCCAGTCTGGTCTACTTAATGAGTTCCAGGACAGCTAGAGCTATAGGGAAACCCGGTCTCAAAAAAATAAAAAGCCGGGCGTGCTGGCGCATGCCTGTGGTCCTAGCACTTGGGATGCAGAGGCAGGCAGATCTCCGTGAGTTCAAGACCAGCCTGGTCTACATAGTGAGTTCCAGGACAGCTGGGACTACAGGGAAACCCTGCTTCAAAAAAACCAAAAAAAAAAAAGAGATCCAGGGGAGGTTCTTCGTTAAGATCACACTCCCATTATTAAATACCAGATTAACAGATCAGACTAGACAAGACCAGAATGAACCACCAAACCAGAAATAAGAGAACTTACCTCCTAAGAGGACGAGAAGGACTCAATCAGTTTTGGTTTATGGGTTATGCAGCAGCCATTCTGGGACTCTCCAGCTCTGATGATAGTTATGGGGCCCTAGAATGTCTCAGGGGACACCACCCCTGTAATAATTCATCAAGCTGAGAAGATCCAGAGCAAGGCTGAGCCCCTGAGAGACAATCTCACTGGGGCCTCCAATTGTAACACTGAGCAAGCCTGAACAAAGGAATGGTCAAATTAGGAGTCTTTTATTAGCTAGCTAGCAAGCTGGTGCTCAGTAAAGGGGGGTCATGCCCAAAAGAACTCTCAACCATGAGGGGAAGCAGGACAGGGTTTAAAAAGCTTTAAACCACAATTACATCATGCTAGGGGCAAAGCCAATAACCATAGTTACATCAGATCACCATAAGTTACATCAGACCAGGGGCAGGTCAGTTAACAAAGAGGTTTTCAGTTAACAAAAAGTTTCAATTAGGAAAAAACAAATTTCTCAAAATGTAGAAACAATGGGCTCTATGGTGATGCAGGTACAGCTGGGAGGGAGGACTTGCTCTCTGGACATGCTCCTGGCTACTTGTAAGTTTCCCAGTATTGTAGATCAATGGACTTCCTGAAACTATCTGCATGAGATGATCTGCCTGTCTGGCTGCAGTGGGAATGGCTGGGCAAACACACAGGGTAAAGCAAAATCACCTAGAGTAAAATGGAGTTAGTTTTGCCATTTCAATAGACATGCATACACATAAAATAAAAATAAAATCTTTCCAAAAAGAAAAGAACTAGTACAAATAGGGCTGGAGAGATGGCTCAGCAGTTAAGAGCGCTGGCTGCTCTTGCAGAGGACCCAGGATCAATTCCTAGTACCCACATGGTGGCTAATAAAAATCCATAACTCCAGTTTCAGGGGATCTGATGCTCTCTTCTGGCCTCCTCAGGCACTATATGACATGGGTGCATTTATATACATGCAGGCAATACACTAGTACACATAAAAAATAAAAGTAAATTGTACAAGCCAGGCATGGTGGCACATTCCTTTAATCCCAGCACTTGGGAGGCAGAGGCAGGCAGATCTCTGTGAGTTTGAGGCCAGCCTGGTCTACATAGTGAGTTCCAGGACAGCTGGGGCTACAGGGAGACTCTGTTTAAAAAAACCAAAAAAAAAAAAAAAAAAGTAAATTGTACAAACATGAACATACGCTGACACATTAAGACGTCCCATAAAACTACAAAAATGAGGATAGGGCACTAATATTTGGGAAAGAATGAAGAAAAACAACAGAAAAACCTTCCGAAAATCACAGAAATGCAGTTTTTTTAATTTTTAAAAAATATTATTTTCATTTTGCGTGTATGAGTGTATTGCCTACACGTATGTAAGTGCACCTGTGTCGTGCAATGCCCACAAAGATCAGAAGTGGGCTTTGGAGCCCCAGAACTGAAGCTACAGACAGTAGCTAGCCGCTGTTGCGTGTTCTCCTCAGGCCAGCTGTGAAGACCCTAACCTGGATCAGGTCCCCTGCCGATTGGGGGGGTGGTAAGAGGCGCGGGTTCACGACACACAGACCCCCAGGAGTCGGAAGAAGCAAGCACTAGGCGAGGTGCTGCAGATTCGTTTAATGCAGGAGGAGGCACACCTTACATCTCCCTTTTCTCCGCCCCCAAGTCCCTTTAGTCAGCATATCGTTTTCTGGTCGTCGCCATGCAGTCTGTCAGCAGTCACTGGGCTCACGAGCAGGGTACCAAGGCCTGCACTCCTTCTGGCGGGCTATTTGCAGACCAAGAAGTGAAGTGAATTCTCGCTGAATCCCAGGGCTCTGGGTCCGGGCCATCTTTGGAGGCCTCCTGCTACAAGCCGCCATGTGGGTGCTGGGAACTGAACCTGGGTCCTCTGCAAGAGTAGCTAGTGCTCTTAACTGCTGAGTCATCTCTCCAGGCAAGGTTATTATTATTTTTTTTTTATGAGCAAAGGAGGGGTCTGGAGAGATGGTTTGACTGTGAAGAGCACCAGTTGCTCTTGTAGAGGACTGGTGTTCGAGTCCGAGCACCCATATGGTGGCTAAGAACCACCTGTAACTCCAGTTCCAGGGGCTCCGAAGCCCTCTTCTGACCTGTGTAGGGTTTGTGCCACACGGTGCACTTACATACATGCAGGCAATACACTCATAAAAATAAATTTTTAAAAAGTGCAAAGGAAACAAACAAATCATTAACATTACTGAACCAACATGGCACCTACATATAAAACTTCCACAAAATTACCTCCAAGTGAGTACTGCCCTGTGAAATGCAACGTTCAGAACTTCTAGAACTGAGAAAATAGAAGTCCTTGATTTTCCTAATGAGTCTCCGATTTCACACCAAAAGCACCCATGTACCAGTGACGACACCTCCAGTAAAGCTTCCGTAGGCAGGGCACAGTCCTTTGGGCGGCTGACTAGAAGTCTTGTGGCCAAGTTCCAAGTCACAGCATCGTTAGCAGGAGACTCTGCTGCCAGCCCCGCCCAGCCAGGCCCCGCCCAGCCCGGGAGACCCGCGGCTGCCACTCCTCCCCATCGGGGAACAGCGGGCCCCAAGCTCACCCGTCCTGCGCCCGCGGCTCCACTCCTTCAAGATTGGGCCCTCGCAGCACAGCTCCTGAAGCCTCACTCCCACGCAGAGCAGAATCCGCAGAAAAGCTTCCGGGAAAACCCTGCCCCTGCCACCCATCAGCGGTCCTGATTGGACACTCTCTTCGAGGCCCTGATTAGCTAGAGAGGTCCGAATGACTGGGACAGCTAGGCTGGTGCAAGGAACTAAAATGATGGAAAAGCCACAGCCCCTCCCAGCCCTGGTTTCAGTCCCTGGCAGGCACATACCTACCAGTTTAGGGGAGATCTACATTTAAGAACTTGTTCCTACCTCCCAGAGCTACTATCATCTGGCATCCGGTATGTACTTCCTGTTCTTCATCCTGGGCACAGGGTCGCTGGTGTACACAACCCATTAGACACTTGGTGTCCAATGGGATGATGACCTTGCCTCATAGCTTTAAAGGCAACCAGCCCATGGCAGGTCAAATTGGAATATTTCCTTATCTTTACATATATAGGATTTTGGTGGATTTTGAAGCTATTATATTTTAAAGATTGCTAAGGAACCTAAATGAGATTGATGTCACCCAGGGACTGGTCTCCGGTCCTTTTCTTCAAAAGGGAAAGAATTACAAGTCGAGTAATCTGCAGTCACAGCACACAGCTAAGGAATGTTTTTGAGTCCCCGGGCTCCCTGTATCACCAGCTGGCCTAGAACTAACTATGGAGATCAGGCTAGCCTCTATCTCCACCTTGCCTCTGCCTCCTGAGTTCTGGGACTAAAGGCGTATGCCACCCATCAGCAGTCCTGGTTGGACACTCTGAGGCCCTGAATAGCTAGAGAGGTCCGAATGACTGGGACAGCCATGCTCCACAGCTATGGTTTACTGAAACATAAGCAACACTCCACACAGCAAAGAGACCAACTCCCTTCATGAGAGAGGACCAGACTGTCTAACAGCCTAGAGTCTGGCTTTTAGTCTATAGGGTAGGAGGTGGGACAGGACTGAGCTCCTCTTTCCCCTTTGGATTGAACAGGGCAGGATGCATGTTTTGGGTTGTTTCACTCATATGGAAGAAAGAACCCAACTGGGTAGAGTCAGGATGGGAAATTTGGTATTTCCACCAGGAGCACAAAAATCCTGCCAAAAGTGCCAACTTTGGACAAGAACCGGAAGTAGGCCATCTCGGATACAAGAGTTACAATTGATAAGGTAAATGTCTAGATCACAGCTATTCGGGAAGCTAGGCTATTTTAACAATAAACAAATAACAGTATTCAGATACTCAGAATCTCATTCCCAGAATGAGGCTCTTTGCAATGCCATATATTCAGGTCTATTAACCAAGCCTTCACAGTAAATGTTAATTTTGCTTAAATTCTTATTTTTCAGCTGGTGAGAGGACTGTTCCAAACTGCAGTGAGGGGCTCCTTTCTCTTCTCATGTACCCATAGTTTTCGTAGTCTTCTTATCCTTCCTCAATTTCTCCCTCTGAGAATTTGATCCTTTAATGTTACCAGTTGAGAAAGACTCAAGACACATTTCCTTTTTGTTTTTGGCTGTTTCTTGAGACAGGCTCTCACTATGTAGCCCAGGCTGGCCTGGAATTCTCTATGTAAATTGACCAGGCTGGTTTCAATGAACTCACAGAGACCTGCCTGCCTGTGTCTCTGCCTCTGCCTCCTGAGTGCTGGGATTAAAGGTGTCTCTGTATTTTTTCAGGCTTAACTGGTGCATAGAACCAACCTATCTAGAGATCAAGCACCTCGACCTGTCTGAGGAACATGCCAGAGCTTGGAGACTGGAAGGCCATCATTTATTTAAAGGAAATCTGGAGGACATGATGTCACTACTCAAGATATCAAATCACTTAAATAAAGTATTGTGTTGGTTTTCGTCAACTTGACACAAACCTAGACATACCTGGGAAGAGGAAATCTCAATTACTGAATACCCTCCATCAGACTGGTCTCTGGCTATGGATATGAGGCATTGTTTATGTGTATGCATGTATTGCTTGCATGTAGGTAAGTGCACCCATGTTGTGCAATGCCCGCGGAGGACAGAAGAGACTGTTGGATCCCCTGGAACTGGAGTTATGGACCGTTGTTAGCTACCATGTGGGTGCTGGGATTCAAACCTGGGTCTTCTGCAAGGTCAGTGTTCTTAACCACCAAGCCATCTCTCCAGTCCCAAGTATGAGGCATTTTTAAAACTTCCAATAGATGTAGGAGAACCCAGCCCTTGTGGGTGGTGCCATCTCTAGTCAGGTGAGCCTGGGGAGTATAAGAAGGAGGTTGAAGGCTGGAGAGAGAACTTAGCTGCTCTTACAAAAGGACCTGGGGTTCAGTTCCCAGCACCCACATGGCAGCTAACCACCATTGGTAACCTCAGTTCCAAGGGATCCGAAGTCCTCTTCTGACCTACATACTTGCCTGCAAAACACTCATACACATCAAAAAGTATTTTAAAATAAGAGAGGCGAAACCTAGGATGGTGGCTTTTGCCACTCAGTACCTGGGTGGCTGAGGCAGGCAGATCTCTGTGAGTTTAAGTCTAGCTTGGTCTACATAGCGAATTCTAAGTCAGTCAATGCTACCCAGTGACATGCTGTCAAAAAAAAAATAAAGCCAGATGTGGTGGTGCACACCTTTGATCCTAGCACTCAGGGCAGAGGCAGGCGGATCTCAGTGAGTTTGAGATGAGCCTGGTTTACAGAGCGAGTTCCAGGCCAGTTGGCGCTACAGGGAGACCAGCATTCCTCTGTGGTCCCTGCTCCAGTTCCCACCTTGAGCTATTGCCCTGACTCCCTCAATGATGGGTCTGACATAAAAGAATGTGACATGAATTTCATTTGAGCATGTAAACACTACAGGACTGAAGACAGATTGTCCCAATCATCAGGTACATTACCTTAACTGTTGAGTTGGCAAGAGATATATCATGGTATTGTGTGCCTCTGAAGTAAAGACATTCCATCTTGGAGGGAGCTCCTTAAGATGCAGGATGTAAACAGGGAGGTAAATAGCAGGATGATCTAAAGGGTGATAAATAACTGGAGGTTTGAGGGGAGATGAAAATATTCCATCCAGAAGGGAAGCTTAAGAAGTAATCAAGAGCTTCAGGAAGTCCCAGAAATTGACCAGATTTACTAGGCCCCTTCCTCCCCAGGCATATGTGAGCCCTAAGAACTTCCCAGAGACACTTAGACCAGATGAGCTGGGTGGAGAGGCTCAGATCAACTGAGCTACCTCCAAAGGACACTCTTCAACCTGTTGAGCTGTGCAGGTTCCCAGAGACAGACCAGATGAGCTGGTGGAGAGGCTCAGATCAACCGAGTTACCTCCAAAGGACACTCTTCAACCTGTTGGGCTGTGCAGGTTGTACACTGCACTACATGTTTCCCACTGGTTTCACCAGTGCTGGGGTGGTTTTTTGATACTGCAGCTCTCTGAGTCATTTCTGTTCCTGTAAGGAACCCCTCACCCACATTCCTGAAGGTAACCCCAATAAAACTCAACGAGTTAGATTTTGGTGGTATCTTTACTTTGGTCTGTTGTTGGTTCTGTACCTGGGGTGTTTAGATGTCTGTTCACACCTCCCCCAGGAATAGTGTCACACAACACATAGAGCCAACTGACAGTTACATATACATAGTATGATAACAGATTTAAAAAAAATTTTAAGAAGGAATCCAATATTCATATTGGAAAAATTAGCAAAGACACCAGCCTTCCTTACATGCAAATTTAACTACTGTCAAATTTATGTAAGGTTTCCATCGTGATAACATCTACATGAGGAAGTGTGACTGGTTTTAAATTTTTTTTTTTCTTTTTTTTGGTCTTTCTGAGACAGGGTCTCCCTCTAGCTCCTGCTGGCCTGGAACTCACCATGTAGACCAGGCTGGCCTTGAACTCACAGATCCACCTGCTTCTGCCTCATTTTTTAAATTTTATGTGTATGAGTGTATTGCCTGCGTGTATGTGAGTGTACCCATGTTGTGCAATGCCGAGGAGATCAGAAGTCTTCAGATTCCCCTGGAACTGGAGTTAAGGATGGTTAATAGCTGCCATGTGGGTGCTGGGAATCGAACCCGGGTCCTCAACAAGAACAGTCAGTGCTCTTAACTGCTGAGCTATCTCTCCAGCCCAATTTTAATTTTTACTAATGGAGGCTGCAATTTAGAATATCTGCCTAAGTAATGGATACACTACAGCCAAAAGCACAGGAGATTTCATCTAAAGGATTTACATGTCTAAAAAATAATTTTGACAAATGGCATAAGATCTTATGCTGTCTGAAAAATTGTCTACAGTCTTTATAACTCCAAAGCATAGGAAGAAAACATACTCTTGCTTCATATCTCAATTCATGCAAACCTGAATCTCTGGAATACCAAAATACACATTGGATTTAAGTGGGTAAATACACACACTGCATTCTCAAAATCCCATGCTTCCCTCATTTAGCCTACAAATCACAAACAGACATGGGTTAATTACTCAATGATATGAAAGATACTTGACCAAAGTAACTTAAGGAAAGGTTTATCTTGAATAGCAGTTTTGGTTTTAAATATTTCTTTTATGTGCATGACTGTTCTGCTTACATATATGTGTGCACCACATGGGTGCAATGCGTAGATGGTGGCGTTGGATTCTGCTGGAATTGGAATTACAGTTGTTGGCCACCACATGGGTGCTGGGAACTGATCCTGGGTCCTCTGCGAGAGCAGCCGATACCATTAACTGTTGGGCCATCTCTCAAGCCCTTGGCTCACAGTTTGAGAATGCACTCCACCATAGTGGGGAAGGGCTGGGGTGAGGGGTGCTGTAGCTTTGGAGGCAGGTTCATCAAGTAACTGGTCAAGTTACATGCACAGTCAAGAAGCAGACATGAATGCTCCTGATCAACTGGCTCTCTCCTTTTCCCCCATATTACTCAATTTAGGATCTAAGCTGGGCGTGGTGGTGCATGCCTTTAGTCCCAGCACTTGGGAGGCAGAGGCAGGTAGATCTCTGTGAGTTCAAGGCCAGCCTGGTACAGGGAGGCCCTGTCTCAAAAAGACCAAAAAAAAAAAAAAGAAAAAAGAAAAAAACAATCAATTTAGGAGCTAAGTGATGGGATTGTCCCCATTCAGAGGGGAAGCCTCCCTCCTCATTTAAATCTCCCTGAAAATGTCACTGACAATTTCAATCACCAGGTGGTTCCAAATCCAGTCAAGCTGACAGAGCTGAGTAAAAATCACACATTAGGTCAGATCTTGAAAACTGTAAGGAACAATAAAGGCCCACAATTCAATAATATGCTTTCAATGAACCACTGTATCTGAGGAAAAAATGTACAGTATCTCATCTGAGGAGAATGCATAGGGAAAAACACATCATTTTGTATAGGTCTTAAGTCTTGAAACTTGATGCAGGTGAGTTTTCAACCATCCTATGACTTTTAAACAACTGCATATACAAACACAGCAAAACATCCTGTTCTTCAAATCCAGTAACTCCATTCCCCCTCAATCACTACACATTATTTTACATTATATATCCATGTGTTAACATTGTGAAAGTCCGCCCCCCCCCAAAAAAAATCTTTCATCTTGCCAGGCGGTGGCACACACCTTTAATTTCAGCACTCAGGAAGCAGAAACAGGCAGAACTCTGTGACAGCAAGGCACACCTGATCTACATAATGAGTTCCAGGACAAGAGACCCCGTCCCAAAAAACTAAAACAAAACAAAACCAAAAACCCTGCATCTTCAACTGAACTTTGTGCAAGGATGACCGACTGATTAGAACTTCAGTGACTGTGGGGCATTTGGAATGTCGCAGGTCCAGATCCTGTTTAAAATTCATCTTGGGCTTTTTTTTCTTCTTTTAGACAGGGTCTCTCTGTAGCCTCAGCTAGCTGTCCTGGAACCTACTATGTAGACCAGGCTGGCCTTGAACTCAGAGATCCACCTGCCTGTGCCCCCAAGTGCTGAGAATAAAGGTGTGCACCACCACACCTGGCTTAAATGTGTTTTAAAAATAATTTTAAAGCAAAAGAATAGCGTTGGAGAGATGGCAGCAGTTAAGAGTACTTGCTGCTCTTGCAGAGGACCCAGGTTTGGTTCTCAGCACCCACATGATGGCTAATAACCATCCATAACTCCAGTTACAAGGGACCCAGTGCCCTCTTCTGACCTCAATGGGTACTGCAAGCAGGTTGTACACATACATGCAGGCAAAACATCCATGCACATAAAATACAAATAAACCGGGTGTGGTGGCCCACGCCTTTAATCCCAGCACTCAGGAGGCAGAGGCAGGTGGATCTCTGTGAGTTCTAGGCCAGCCTGGTCTACATAGTGACTCCAGGACAAGCCTGGGGCTACAAAGAGAGCCTGTCTCAAAAATACCAAAAAAATAATTTTTTTTTAAAGTAAAAGAATCACAAATAGCAGATAGAACTGGTATGTAGATAGTAAAACATCATGTCAGGTGCACACAGCATTCAGAAGACTGCAGAAGCATCGAGCAAGCAAAAGGAAATGTCATGAAATCAGAGCTTACCACAACCAGCAGAAATCAAATGGGGATGCTACACTGATGTAATCAGCATCTTGCTGTTTCCACAGCAATTTTTTTTTTTTTGGTCTTTCGAGACAGGGTCTCCCTGTAGCCCCAGCTGCCCTGGAACTTGCTATGTAGTCCAGGCTGGCCTTGAACTCAGAGATCCGCCTGCCTCTGCCTCCCGAGTGCTGGGACTACAGGGGAGCCCCACCATGCCTGGCAACAAGCAATTTTTAAAAAATTTTATGAGATAAAAGTAAGGCGTCTTGGAAATGGTTTACCTTCTACCTGTTCACAAAAATGCAAGTTTTTTTATTATTTTAAAATTATATGTGTATGTCTATGTATGGGTTTGTGCATGTGAGTGCAGTGCTGGAGTTACAGGCTGCTGTGAGTGTCTGATGTGGGTGCTAACAATCTAACTCAGGTCCTCTAGAAGAGCAATACATACATGCTCTTAACATGGTCATCTCACCAGCCCCAATGATGCCATGTCTTGAACACTTAGGTTAACATGATTGTGACCCAGAAGATGTTCCTCTGACCCTGTAGTGACAAGCCATGAATCTGCCTCCTTCCCAAGCTCTGCAAAGAAGCCACTTCCCTTCCCTCTTCCAGCCGATTGGTTGACTACAGCCACTTGCTGGGGATGGGCTAAGGGTGTAAAAGCTGGGAAAACCAGGAGGCTGGCCTCTGCCATTTTGTAAGGCTGTCTAGAACCACAGGATTTATGTCTGGGTGTGGACTTTTGGCATCAGCTGTGAATGGGGGGGGGGCGCGCTGCTTGTCTGTAAGCAAACCCACACCCCAAGCTCAGTTAGCAAGTCCAATGAACTCGTTAAGATTCTTCAAACCGGGGTTTGGAGAATTTTTTTTCTCAGGCTGTTGCAAGGACTTTGGGAGGAGGGAATTAGGTATCACGTGCACCTCCCAGCAGTGAATCTGACTCACAATGACTGAGTCTGCTCCCTTCCAGAGTCTACTTTCAACAAGCTTAACCAGCAGGACAATTTGCCAATATAATGTATATTACAATACTGTCCTGGGAACTTTTGCTGAGGAGACTTGAGTGTCTACTCACCTCAGATAGGGCACCAAACACAAACACAAGGAAAAGAGTCAACACAAGTACAGTTTGAACCAATTCTTTTAATTAGGGTTACTTACAGGAGAAGGGTGAGGGGTTACTGACAGGAACATGGGAAATGTACGGGGGTTACACCACTTAAGAAAATTAGATCCCTTGCTGGTATGGTGGTGCACACCTTTAGTCCCAGCACTTGGGAAGAAGAGGCAGGCAGAACTCTGTAAGTTTGAGGCCAGCCTGGTCTACCTAGTGACTTCCAGAAGAGCTGGGGCTACAAGGAGACCCTGTCTCAAAATAGACCAAAAAAGAAAAGAAAAATCTCTCTCCTTCCCAGCAACCATTTACTGCTTATATGAGAGGCCTTGTGAGAGCCAACTCTATTAGTACCAAGATCTGCCTAAAGATCATCAGGGAGGGGCAAAGGCCTCAAGATCCCCTCCCTCCATGAATATTAATTGCCATATGTCCGTGGTGAGCAGAGCTTCATGGCTACCCCTCTCCATAAAACATTAAAGGGTTCAGTTCTGTCCAGGTCGCCTGTAAGTAATCACAGGTGCTGAGATTTCAAGGAAAAAAAAAAACAGCAATGTTATTTTCAAAGGTCAGTTTTCCAAAACATTCCATCCTTCCTCTGGCTCTTACATTATTTCCACCCACATTTCCAGAAAGTGCCCCAAGCCTTGGAGGGGTGATATTTTGATGAGTTATGAGACTCAGAAGTACTATTACCTACCACAGAAAGATGCTTCTCTGACTAAAAATCTATGGGCATAAACACAAGGTCATATCCACCTAGCAAAGCAACATCAGTGGATTTTCACTGTTCTTTTAGTACCAGACATGGACGTCCCCCTGTGAGCAGGCCCCAAATCCAATCAGAAAGCCATTGGTTACTCTCATAAATCATGCCGATATTGTACCAGTGAGCAGATTTATCACATTTGTCTGTTTATTTATTTATTGCAGAGGTGGGGGAAGATGCATGGTACATATACAGAGACCAGAGGACAAGTTGTGAGGTTTGGTTCTCTCCTTCCATCACATGGGTTCCAGGGATCGAACTGAAGTTTTCAGGCTTGGCAGCAAACACCCTCACCTGCTGACATCTCACTAGCCCTAGTAGGCACATCTTGATTGGCATTTTGGTAGTATAACATGCAGGGTCCACAGCTGAACAGTAGTGTTGACAATTCTGCTGCAAGCGCCCACAAGCACTATGACTGCTAGCAGGCAAGGAGGAAGATGCCAGCTCAGTCCCAGCTTGATTTCTTCACATTGAGCAATCAAAGTATGTGGTGTCTCCAGCAACAGTCTTACTATCTAGTTCTTGTAAGCAACTAGCAGCAGTGGAAACAGCCTTTATTATTTGAGGAATCTATGGGGGGGGGGCTCCATGGTCAAATCCTACAGAGGTAGCCCACCCCTGGCACTGCCATTTTCACTAAATAGCTTATCTTCTGGGAGCATCGTTTCCCATGAACACAGAGTGCTTCCATCCAAACAGTTCAATGCTGTTTTAATGTCTACAGGCCCAGGCTGTTGAGGACTTTCCTCATTCACCTTGTGTATCACCCGTGTTACAGCCTGTATATACTGCCTTCCCATCTTCACTCTTTTATCTCATTCAGATGCTTTTCTAAGTTCTGTGAAACACTCCAGAGGTTAGCATTATGCCATCTAGGAAGTGAAATCTTTTTGGAAAGGGTAAACAGAAGGCCTACAAGCCACAATACCAAACAAGTGTCAGTTGAACGCAGAAGTCAGAAGCTAAAGGGACAACAAATAAAACTGTCCACTCTTTCCTCAATATTGAGCTGACATTGTAGCACAGGTGGTAGAGTCCTTGTCTCACATGTATGAAACCTGAGTTTGATCCCCAGAACCACATGAAACCAGGTGAGGTGGTGCATACATACGTACACCAGCACTTAGAAGATGGAGGCAGGAGGATCAGGTCAAGGTCATCCTGGGCTATACAGCAAATCTGAGGCCAGATGGGAAACTGCCTCAGAAGGAAAAGAAAATGAGTACTGGTCTGGTGGCCCTAGCCAGCCATTCTGCAGAAGCCATCCTGCATCCTCTTCCAGGTTGCCACAGGCCTGCCATGCATTTCCTTGCCTCCAACAGCACTGGTGAGGAAGGGGCTGCCTCTTGTTCTCTAATTGGCAAAGGGCCAAGAGGAAGTTCAGACAGGCTCTCACCTGCTCTAAGTCCACAGGCTCCTGGGGTCTGACAGTCTCTGGGCCCAAGCTGTGGCACACTGCTGCGTCTTCACTGAATGCCCTGACTACTGGACAATTTACACACAAAGTATTCCTTCCTTCAGGAGAATGCACACATTACCATGGGGACATATATGCCCAACTCTGGGGAAAACACAGACTTCTTCAGCTCCACTGCTCTATCTTTAATATCGTCATTAATCATTTCCTCAAATTTCAAAGCCTTCAAAAGGCAGAATATTTGCTGATTATTACAGCTCCCGTTACTGGGCTATTTGGGTCTTCATTCACATACTGTGCCAGTGATTTTCCACTCCTCTGTATTAAAGGTCAGGTCTAAGGGCTGACTTTGATCATTTCTAATACACTCCCTTCAAATACAGCACCCTCAGTGTTCTATCTTTCCCATAGGTTCCAAGTTTAGGATCCCATGAAAGCACTACTTAGCATAGACTTAATTTTAAATGTTTCCTTCATGCCATCCCCAGCTGTTGGAAACCAGAAGCCAGCACCTGCATCTCATTCATTCCCATTCTCTTGCCCATTCTTCCTGCCAATTCTGAGGCTAAGTGCACAGTATCTGCATGTCTTTTCCTCACAGTAACTCCTCCATCAAAGGGGCAAATTCATGTTGGACAGACAGCTATGCCTCAGTTACATGCTATACTGCTTAGAGCAAGGGTCATGCACCTGATGCCTACTTAATTCTGTCCATATGTGCTACCTACAGGGATTGTAATATATTCTTTAGCCTGTTATCCACATGCGAGTGTCTGTATACTCAGTGTGGCAGACCTCATTTGTTAGAGAAGCATGTAACTCCATATGACATAGAAGTTCACAGTAAGGGCAACGCAACTAGTACTGCAGTAAGAAGCCATGCCATTCCATGGCACACTGTAAAGGAAGCCATCCCAGGATTAACCTCACAGATGCTCCACCCTCACAAAGCTTCCCCTCGGTGGCATGTTTCATCACCTACAAGGGACAAAGCAAGTGTTCCTCTCAAACTCATCTTTGGTTCTGTTATGCCCCATGTTCAGGTACCAAGTGTTATGTGAACATTTTCTGAGTACACATGAACAAAGGCCTATTCACCCCACATACGGTACCAATAATAGAAACAAAAAAGTTATTCCAACCAAGTATAGCTTGGGGAACCACTGTTTACAGAAGCATGGGCAGCTGATGGGCAGCCATGCCACTGAAGAAAACGTCTGTTCATCTCCTAGCAACCATTAACTTACCACACTCTGTACACTCACAGCACTTTGTCTCACCAATTGCTGTGTGAAAGGAGCTGTGACCTCTGAAGGCTTCACAGCTTTGTTTCCACTTACAGGACTGCTTCCAGCATGAGTTCATTCATGGAATCTACAGGTGCAAAAACATCTAAACATTGTTTTTTTCCTTCCAGGATGAAGTCTTTTATGTTACTGAAGGGACTTGTGACTCCTGAAGGCTAATTACCATATTGTTTAAAATCATATGGTTTTTTACCACTGTGAGTTCTCTCATATATTTGAAGCAAATAGGGATAAAAGACTGACCAGGTTGTTTCCATTCATAAGCATTTCCCCAGCATGAATTAGCTTATTTCTGTGAAAGGAAAAGTGGCAGATGAAATACTTACCATATTGGTTACATTCATAGAAATTTTGCCCAACATAAACTCCTTCATGCATTGGAAGTCTAGACCACATTGTTTATATGTTTAAGGTTTATCACCATGTTGACTTTTCACATGCATTTTATGTGAATGAGGATAAACTCTGGTTTACACACTGCTCACATTCATAGTGTTTTTCACCAGTATGAGTTGTCTGATGAATTTGAAGGAAACAAGGATAAAGGAATTAGATATTGTTGACATTCATAGGGGTTGTCCACAACATGAATAGACTTGTGTCTCTGAAAGGAACTGTGACGGCTAAAGGCTTTCCCACACTGTTGACATTCATAAGGTTTTTCTCCTGTATGAGTTCTTTCATGTAATCGAAGGTAACTATATCTTATAAAGGCTTTATCACATTGTTTACATTCATAGGGTCTCTCTCCACTATGAATTCTTCCATGTAACCGAAGGGAAGAGTGATGTCTAAAAGCTTTACCACATTCTTTACATTTATAGGGTTTCTCTCCAGTATGAGTTATTTCATGTAATCGAAGGGAAGTATGACGTGTAAAGGCTTTCCCACACTGTTGACATTCATAGGGTTTTTCTCCTGTGTGAGTTCTTTCATGTAATCGCAGGGAAGAGTGATGTCTAAAAGCTGTACCACATTGTTTACACTCGTAGGGCTTTTCACCAGTGTGCGTTCTTTCGTGCATTTGAAGTAAAGAGGGGTAAAGGAATGACTTACCACACTGTTTACATTTATAGGGTTTTTCACTAGTGTGAGTTCTTTCATGCATTTGAAGTAAAGAGGGATAAATGAAGAGCCTACTACATTGTTTACATTCATAGAAGGTTTCTCCACCATGAATTATTTTATGTCTCTGATAGGAGGTCTGACATCTGAAGGCTTTACCACACTGCTTACATTCATAGGGCTTCTCGCCAGTATGAGTCCTTTCATGTAATCGAAGATAACTGTGGCACGTAAAGGCTTTACCACACTCTTTACACTCATAGGGCTTTTCACCAGTATGAATTCTCTCATGTAACTGAAGAGCACTGTGGCATCTAAAAGCTTTCCCACACTGGTTACATTTATAGGGTCTTTCTCCTGTATGAATTCTCTTATGTCTTTGAAGGGAAGTGGAAGAACTCAGAGCTTTACCACACTGGTTACATTTATAGGGTCTTTCTCCTGTATGAATTCTCTTATGTCTTTGAAGGGAAGTGGAAGAACTCAGAGCTTTACCACACTGGTTACATTTATAGGGTCTTTCTCCTGTATGAATTCTCTCATGTCTTTGAAGAGAACTGGAAGAACTCAGAATTTTACCACACTGATTACATTCATAACATTTTCTTACAGTGTGGGTGCCTCCATGTGTATAAAGTGAACTATGATAAACAGAGTCCTTTCCACATTCCTTGTATTCAAAGAAGTTGTCTCCAATGTGAGTTTGGTGATATATTCCAAATGAACTTGGAAAACCAAAGGATTTTAAACATACCTCACATTCACAAGGTCCATTCACAGTGTGAGTTTCCAGGTACCCTTGAACACTTATGAGAGAATTAGAATCATATGGCTTCTTCCCATATTCTTCATGCTCATATGGTTCCTCAGAGTGAGTTATGACGTGCCTATTAAAGAATGAAAGACACAAGAAAACTTTCACAGACACTGTATTTACATAGTTTAACTTAAGTAGAAAATTTGCTACTGATACTGAGATTTGGTGTAAGGGTTAAGGTTTTCCCCATACTGACCACACTTTACTCTTAGAGTGTCTCAAATTTCAGTAACATAATTTCTGTTTAAAAAAACAAAAGCAAGAGGGCTGGAGAGACGGCTCAGCGGTTGAGAGCAGCACTGACTGCTCTTACAGAGGACCCAGGTTCAATTCCCAGCACCCACAAGGCGGCTACAAACCATCCTTAACTCCAGTTCCAAGGGAATCTGAAGCCCTCTTCTGACCTCCGCAGCATTGCACAACACGGGTGTACTCACTTACATGCGGGCAATAGAGTCATACACATAAAATAAAAATAATAAATAAATATTTTTAAAAAACAAAAGCAAAAGCCAAGTAGGTAGAAGTTCAGCAGGCCACAGACATACACCTTCTGAAGACTGACAGCTTTTCCAATTTTTCAGCTCTCCTTTTCTTCTATCTCTTTTCCAAGCATGCTTCACCAAACATTTGGGGTTCCCCAATACTTTAGGTTTCCTTACTTTTTTTCTAAAGCTCCCCAACCATGTGACTGCTAGTCTACCATGTATCTGATCTCCATGCCTGCTTAACTGGCAATTTTTTTTTCCTTTCTCTCCTTCATTCTCCTCTTCCAGGAAGCTGCTGAGATTTACACCTTGCCTGCCTTGGGGAATTTTCTTTTACATGCTAATAAAATTGTCCTCGTACATTTAAAAAAAAATTTTTTTTTAAAGACAAGCAAACTAGTTACTGATGATTGCTCATTGCAAGGGCTGGGTCATACACTGCTCCCAAAACAAGGCAAAGTACATACCTTCTGCCATATTTGAATGATCTAAAACTAAATGGATTGATGCTTCTAGGCTATGGCTCTAACAGAACTACAATCCAAACAGTGATATTCATTTAAAGGAGAGTCCCAGTACTGTTTCCAAGTGAAATTCTCTGCAAACCCCAAATATCAATCTTACATTGAGGTACAAAGTACATTTTTTAGTGAGAATTTTCTAATGATGAATAAACTTAAAGCTGTACTTTTGTTTGTTCTTAAATGTATACAGCATGTTAAAGTTTCTACACAAGACATTTGTTTCCAGTTGTACATGAAAATTACCTTAGATTTCTTCCAAGATTTTTAGAATCATCTTCAATATTCTGCTCTTCCCATCTGTGTCCTAAAATACAGTCCCAGAAAGGTTACGATAAATTGTTAGAATTTACAGAAAATCAGGAGCTGGAGATAGAGGTCAGTAGTTAAAACCACTTACTGCTCTTTCAAGGGACCCAGGATCAGGCCCCGCACCCACATCAGGCAGCTTACAACCACCTCTAACTCCAGCTTCCAGAGGGATCCAACACCTCTGGCCTCCATGGACACCAGCATTCATCTACACAAACCCCACACATAAGACACATACATATAATTAAAAATAAAACTTTTTTTTTTTCACACACACAAAAAAAGGGCTGGAGCAATGTCTCCATGGTTAAGAACATATACTACTCTTGCAGAGGACCTGGGTTCAGTTCCCAGCACCCATATGACAGCTCACAACTGCCTGTAACTCCAGTTCCAAGAGATATGACACATTTTCCTGGTCCTTGTGGATTTCTGAACATACATGGTACACAAAAACCCATATAGGTACACACATAAAAATAAGGAATAAATTTTTGAAAAGAAAAGAAGAAATTACTGAGTCAATGTACACTGTCATTATGTCTCACTTTTCTTCCAATTTAAGATCTGTAAAAGCAAGAATTTTCTAATACTAGTGTATATGTGTGTGTTTGTGTGTGTGTCCATGGTGTGTGCAGGGGGACATGTCACTGAGCATACGTGAAGATCAGATGGTAATTTATGGGAGTTGGCTCTCTCCTTTCACCACGTACGTTCCACTAGGTTTGCATAGCAAGCACCTTTAACTGCCTGAGTCATCTCACTGGGCACCACACCTTTATTTATTCACCAAATTCTTTCTATATCCAAATCACAGAAGACCAATGAAGACCACAGAAGGCCTGCCTGCTGGTTGACATAGAAAGTTTTAGGCCAGCTGGGGCTGCAGTGAGACCCTACGAAGAAACACTTGCTCCCTCACTTACAAAGGGAAGGCAAGAAGACTCTTACCTATAGCAGCGAGGTTGCTGCAGGTTTCCTGCATCACATCTCTGTAGAGATTCTTCTGAGACGGATCCAGCAAAGCCCACTCTTCCAAAGTGAAGATGACAGCCACATCCTCAAAGGTCACTAAATCCTAAAACATCCCATA